TGCGTGTGGGCGCCTGGGTGCGTGGGCGGACGGGCGGGCGGGCGGGCAAGGGTGTGGGTGTGTGGGTGTTTCTGTGTGTGTGGTCGTGTGTGCATGTGGGTGTGGGTGTGTGTGTGTGTGGGTGTGTGTGTGTCTGTGTGTCTGTGGGTGTGTGCGTGTGTGAGCACGCAGCATGCGCGCGTGCGCGTGCACGTGCGTGCGTGTGAGGGCGTGTAGGGGGCCTGTGCGTGTGCGTGTGAGGGCATCTGGGGGGGCGTGAGGAGGCGTATTGGTGTGTGTGTGTAGGTGTGTGTAGGTGTGTGTAGGTGTGCGTAGGTGTGTGTGTGTGTGGGTGTTTTGACGCGCGCGCGCGGCTTGCGCAAAATGGTTTGCGTTTATCAGGGGCACCAAGTCCTGTGCTTGCTGCCTTTAGCAGCTGCACGGTGTTCAATCCTCGGAAAGTCGCGGGTACTCCCTCCAAGTAAAGGCTCACTTTGGAGATCCCAATCAAAGCCCATGACTGAGGCTGCTGCCGACTGGCTTTCTCAAGGTCTTGATTTGTGATCTGAAAGCAGGGTCTCATTGTGAAAGGAATTTAAAAATTCAGAATGGAAGGGACTCTCAGACTCATCCTGCCTAAGCTCCTTCACCACCGCTTGCTTTGCTGAGCTGGACCGACTTTTCAACCCCTGCACTCGGCCTGCACTGAAGACATCCGTGACAGTCTTGGGAGCCATTCGGCCCGTTTGCCCTTCTGCCCGACTTCTGCCCTTCCCACCTGCATCAAAGGTTTGCCCTTCCAGCCAATCGAACTCCAGCGGCCAACCCTCCATTGTCACGGAAGCCTTCGGCTTGAAGAACTCCTGCCTCGGCACACCCTCTCGAGTTCTGGTGCTGTCGTCATGTCAGTCCTCTGGAAGCTTTGGATCTCCTTGTGTCTTTCGACGCCTAAGAGGAACCGCGCACATTGACCCATGATGGAACGAGGCCAAGACAGAACCACAGGGTCGGAGTCTGACACGGCCCGTAGGAGAGGCAAGTCTGGTCTCGCAACCGGAACTTGTCTATTGCGTGGCGCAAGTATTGTCGCGTCATCAGGCGGGTGAAAATACACCCGATCTTGAGATCCAGCTCCTGGAAAGGACCGACTTTGCGCATGGATGAAACATGAGCATCTTACGCGTTCCGCGTAGCTGTCCTGCCGAGCATCCACAGCCTGCGCCGCCAGCTTGTCCGGTCGGCCCAAGTTGTTGTAGGCACCTCGACGCGAAAAGTAAAGTGTGAGTAAAGAAGTTGCTTTGTGTGAATAACAAAAGAAAGCAAAGAAAGCAAAGAAATCAAAGAAAGCAACGCTTTCAGGCAATCAAACGCAAGGTCTTCGTGAGCGTTCAATCGCGAGCGCCTTTCAGCTCGGGCTCGGTCAACGCGGAGAACTGGGCCCTCGGCTTTGGGCACTCAGATTCTCTCAAGCGAGGTCCGCGCCTGTAGATGTTATCCACCGGAACGTTCTCACCTCATCTTGCAACGTCGCAATATATTTGGAAGGTCGAGCTAACTGTGCTCAATGTGTCAAGTGACATAGTGAGATCACTTCGAAGCAGATGTTCTCGCCCTGGCGCTTTCCATTCAATTCGACATTCGAACATTCGAACTTCGAACTTCGGGCTTCGAGCCGCTTCGATTCGTGGCGCGCCTCTTTGTCGCAGTCCAACCACAGCGCCAAGTAGTCGGCTTCCGCGGCCAACTCCTAAGGCTGAGGCACCCCGCCCGATGTCGGGCTCGGCGCTCGGCTCCTGGAAGTGCTCCACGATGCGGTTCTTGGCCTCGCAGTTCAAATTTCCCAGACAAAGCATGGCCCACGTGTCTCAATGCAAAGTAGTTGTTCAGTTCATTTCAAATTAGATACTTGTAGAGTATCCCTTAGAATTCATTCCAGTTCCAGTTCCCAGGCACACTCAAAATGTGAATTGAATCGCACACGAGCATGCTGAGGCGCAGTGTTGTCCTCGATGGTCTTTTTGCAGGGGTCCTGGAAGAGGTCCACTATGTCCTTGGGCCTGTTGTCTTTGAAGTCCAGTCCTGCACAGATTTGGACATCCGCAATGCCTAATGCGCAAGCCAGTAGCAGCCAAGCGGCCAAAGACATGGCCGATGGTGGAGGTCTGCATTATTCGGCACTGCTGATGCGCTGGGGGGAACCAGCTGTTGAACTCATAGATTTGCACCGCACGGCTCTGACCTGGCACCCACTCGGCGACTCGGCGACTCGAGGCGAACCAACCCCCTCGCTGACTCGCTGGCCTTTGCGGAATCGCATGCGGCCGCCAGACAGAAATTCGGCGATCAGCTTTGCGACGGATGGCTTCTCGGCCACCATCAGCACCTACGGGGATCGGATCGGATGGGCAGGCGGCCAATACTGGCCAATACTCGGCCAATACTCGGCCAGTGGGACATCAAACAGAAAACTTCAAATGGTCGAGGCTTCCGCCTTGGGCAGGTTGTCCCAGCGCTGGTCATTCATCTGGGACTGCTGCCTTCTCCACAGCATTCGATCAACCACCTGAATCTCTCGAATCCTATGACATCTGCCCTCAATCCCTCAATCCCTCACGGCCTGCTTCATCTCCGGAGGCACTGTGCAGCCCGCTTTCTGCATGACTTCTGCGATTCCGATCGCCTTCCAAGCGTCTTCACCTGACCCGGAGCCACCCGGAGCCAACCGGAGCCACCCGGAGCCACCCGGAGCCACCCGGAGCCACCCGGAGCCACCCGGAGCCACCCGGAGCCACCCGGAGCCACCCGGAGCCACCCGGAGCCACTCTAGCCAGCGGAGCTTTTTGTTGCGCGCCTGACTTGGTCAAGAAAGTGACGCTGCAGCCTTTCTGGCCGGCTCGGCCTGTGCGTCCGATCCTGGGCCAGGCTGCATCCAACACGACGCGCTTGCACAGGCGAACGACCGATGTACGTGATCTTCCGTACTGTTCGCAGAGTCATAGTTGATGACCATGGTGACTCCTCGAATCAACTGGTACCCGATTCAAACAAAAAACAGAGAAGTCCTTTGATGTCCAAACCCCGTGCGGCCACGTCGGTGGCAATGAGAACGCTCCTTTCAAATTCAAAGGTCCCGAAAGGAGGCCCCGAAAGGAGGCCCGAGGTTCGGACGTCTCCCCAGATTTGAACTGCTGCAGGGCCTCCTCGCGCTGCTGCTGGTCCTGCGCTCGCGCCGTCACGCCGTCGCGCCGTCACGCCTTCGGGTTTCCTCCCGGCCTTGTCGCTGTGCATCGTATCCGCCGAGATGCCGTACTTCCGGAGCATCCGCATCAGCATCTGAGCTCTGCCAATCCAATCTCTCTTCTCCGCAAGCCGACAAAATCTAAATGCCCTATGGCTTTCCATGGCCCTCGTGCCCTCGTGCCCTTGTGGCCCCCGGCATCGCACTGCTTCTTCATGGCGACGAAGACCAGGATTCGCTGGCCAGGCCCGCCGTACAGCTGCAGCGCCTCAACCAGGGCTGCGTCCTTGTCGTCGGAGGAATTCAGCATCCACACCTGCTGACTGATGTCTTCGTTGGCCGACAACGAGGATGGATTGCCCACTTGCACGTGGACCGGCATGTTCAAAAAGTCATGCCTTGGTGCCAACTGCTAAACACTACTTGGAACTGCCACGAGCCGAATAAGCCGTATAAGCCGGACAATCCGGATGGGCCAAGATGCGCCAGCTGCTGCACTTCCTCGGGCCAGGTGGCGCTGAACATCAGCGTCTGCCGCCGCTTCGGCACCTTTTTCATGATGTCTCGGATCTGGGGCTCGAAGCCCATGTCCAGCATCCGATCCGCCTCATCAAAGACGCAGTAGCCCACGCCACCCAGGTTGATGTCCTGGACCCAGTGGACCCAGACTCAGTGGACTCAATGACCAAACAGTTGCCGGTACAAGGTGACTATGAAAGGGTGCACAGCCCCTTCCCAGCTCCAACACCCGCAACCATTCCCATTCTGTGCCTGAACGGTCAGCATGTTTGTCTCACCCGACTCCAACTTATCCCCAATTGTCGGATATCGAATCCTTGTACTCCAAGAAGTCGTTGAGCCTCCCGGGCGTGGCCACCAAGATGGGCGCGCCGGCGCGCACCGCCGGCAGCTGCTCTCGTTTGGGCTGGCCCCCGTACACGCACGCACTGGAGCAGCCCGAGGCCGAGGCGAACTTCACGGCCTGTCGAACCCCGACACCGCAGGCCTCGCAGGCCTCGCAGGCCTCGCAGGCCTCGCAGGCCTCGCAGGCCTCGCAGGCCTCGCAGGCCTTGCAGGGGCCCTACATCGGGCCATCTCGCGCCTCGTCGTGGATCTGGGTGGCCAGCTCCCGCGTGGGCGCCAGAATCAGTGTCTGCACGCCCACGCCCTGTCCGGAGTTCATCCAGCGATAGGCCGGCACCAAGAAGCCCAGCGTCTTCCCGGACCCCGTCCTCGACTTCAAACACCCGCTGGCCACTGCCCTTCGCTCTGGCGCTCTTTGTACCGAGGCGCTTTGCAATGCCAATGACGTCCCAGCCTTGCTCAAGAAGAGGCCACCTGTGCCATAACAGCGGTAACCCGATGATAACGCGATAGCTTGTGATGGCAGTAACAGCATTAACCTTGATAAACACTTGATAACAGCATTAACTGCTTGATAACAGCAGGTGTAGCGATAGCAGCAGCAACGATAACAGCAGTAACCAACATTAGCCAGCGATATATGACAACAGTAACGCGACGCTGATAACAGCGACCAACAGCGTTAACGGCGACAACAGCGGCAGCAATAGCTGTAGCGACAACAGCGCGTAGCAGCGATGCGTAACTTGGCCAGCACGTAACAGCGATATAACAGTGATGCGTAACAGCGATGCGTAGCTTTAGCGATGCGTAACAGCGGTGCGTAACCTTGACCGTAACTTGTGATGCATAACATGACCGTAACGAAAGCGATGTAACCAGCGATACATGTGCTGCTTGATGCATAGCTGCTTGATATGCGTAACGCGATGCGTATGGCGATCGTAACAGCGCGTAACAGCGATGTAGCAGCGGTGTAACCAGCGATGCGTAACGTGATGCGTAACAGCGATGCGTAACAGCGATAATAACAGCGATGCATGTGGCGATAATAACAGCGTTGCGTAAACAGCAATGCGTAACAGCTGATGCGTAACAGCGATGATATAACAGCGGTGCATTAACAGCGATGCGTAACAGCGTGCATGTGCTGCGATGCATGTAGCGGTGTAAGCTTGTGATGCATGCTAGCGATGTTCGTTAGATATCTTTCTTGATGCGTAACGGCAGTGCATAACGCGTTCATAACCAGCGATAACAGCGATGCGTAACCTTGATGTAACAGCGATGCGTAACGCTTGATGCATGCTGCTTGATGCTAACAGCGATGCGTAAACAGCGATGCGTAACTGGCGATGCGTAACGCGTCCGTAACAGCGGTACGTAACAGCGATGTAACGCTTAGCGATGCGTAACAGCGATGCGTAGCAGCGATTGCATGACAGCGATGCATAACAGCGATACGTAACAATGACCGTAACTGCTTGATGCGTAACAGCGATATAACGGTAAACGCGTAACAGCAGCGCGTAACGTGACGTATGTAGCGATAGCAGCAGCGAAGTGCGTAACCTTGATGCGTAGCAGCGATTAGTAACAGCGATCGTAGCAGCGATGCATGTAGCGATACGTAGCAGCATTCATGTGTGATATAGCAGCTGATGCGTAACAGCGATGCGTAACTTGGCCGATGCGTAACAGCGACCATGCTGCTTGATGCGTAACCCAGCGATATGTGGCATAACATGTGCGTAACGCTGATGCGTAACTAGCGATGCGTAACCTTGACCATGTAACTTAACGATGCACGTAACAGCGATGCATGTAGCGGTGCATGATATTAAAGCGTAGCAGCGGTGCGTAACAGCAGCGTGGCTGTGATGCGTAGCAGCGATGTAACAGCGATGACAACGATAGCAGCATTAGCAGCATTAACAGCACTAGCAGCATTAGCAGTGGCAACGATGCTGCGATAACCGCGTGCTGCGGTAACAACGATAACAGCGATGCAGCGGTAACAGCGATAACCTTGATGTGATACAACAGCATTAACAGCAGTACAGCGATATTTAAATGCTGCGGTAACAGCATTAACCGCTGATGGCAACGATAACAGCAAGTAACTGTGATAACAGCAGTAACAGCGTTAACCAGCGATAACAGCGACTTAGCGATACTGCTGATAACCATGATGGCAATGACAGCGATAACAGCGATGTGATGGCTGACGATAACAACGATGCTGCTTGATATGGCAAGCGCTTAATAACCGACAGCGTGACTTAATGACTTGTGGCGAGTTCGCTCTTGGAATCGCCCGTTTCTGAATCGCCCGTTGAATCGGGGACGAAAGTGAAAGGGATGAGCAATGACAACTGGCAACAAGATTTGGAGAATGTACACTTCCTTGTGTTTTTTTCCAGCAATGACATGGCGAAGCTGTGACGAAAAACAGCGGCGACAGCGGCAACAGCGGTAACAGCGATGGCAACGTGTAGCTGATAATAACATTAACATGATAACAACGATAGCTGTGATAACAGCGATGGCAACAGCGATAACAACGATGCTTAGCGATGGCAGCGATAACAGCGGTAACCGCTGATAACAGCGGTAGCATGACAACAGCGATAACAGCGATAACATTGATAACCGTGATAGCAACGATAACCTTGATAACAACGTGTGTGATGTATGATAGCAACGATGTATGATAACAGGGCAAGTGATGGCAAGCGTGGCAGCGGTGGCAGCGGTGGCAGCGGTGGCAGCGGTGGCAGCGGTGGCAGCGGTGGCAGCGGTGGCAGCGGTGGCAGCGGTGGCAGCGGTGGCAGCGGTGGCAGCGGTGGCAGCGGCGGCAGCGGTGGCAGCGGTGGCAGCGGTGGCAGCGGTGGCAGCGGTGGCAGCGGTGGCAGCGGTGGCAGCGGTGGCAGCGGTGGCAGCGGTGGCAGCGGTGGCAGCGGTGGCAGCGGTGGCAGCGGTGGCAGTGGTGGCAGCTGCAGGCCGAGAGAAGCCGAGAGAAGCCCAGCCTGGATGGGCGTCGGAGCCTGGAAACCGGCCGTCTTGAAGGCAGAGAGCAGCGGCTGGGCCAGGCCAGCCTGGCGGCCGCGGCTTGAGACTGGCCTTTGCAAGCCGCATCGCCTCCGCGTATGTGGCGTACGGGTGAGGAATGGCAGTTGTGGAGCCATCCGTATGCCAAGCGCGGATCTGATTCTTCAAGCGATACGGGTCTTTCTCCTCGTAATTCGGAGCGTTCATCTCCGCTGGAGCCTTCACCTCAAGCACTTTCAAGCCGAAACTTGGATACACATTACCTCAGCTACCCGCGCCTGCTTGGGTGCCTTCTTCACGTAGCTGCTTGCTGCAGCTGACATGGCACCAAAGCCAGAGAGCGCCTCCTGTCTCCGAACCCAAGGCATGCAGCTCGACCCGCTCGACCCGCTCGACCCGCTCGACCCCATCGACCCCTTCGACCCCTTGACCCCTCGACGCGCTCCTCAGCCGCACCTGCGTTCCAATCAGGGGTGGCATTCGCTTTACCGTTCTTGCCGTTCTTGCCGTTCTTGCCGTTCTTGGCATGTCCCTTCTGTCCCTTGCCATCGTCAAAGCCTGCGAGGACGGATTCAACATTGCGTGGTGCGGCCTGACTCCCGCCTTTGCCCTGGTCCTTCTCGTGATTTGTATTTGAGACATAGCCATTCTGGTTGGCATACCTCGGTGCGAAGGCAACGCAAACACACTCACTGGATTAACAATAACAAGAAACAGCAGCAAAACCTGGCGTGATACAGTGAAGCAATGCCAGGCAACAAAAAGGAGACCACCAAATCAAGCCAAATCAAGGTCAAACATACAAAACTGAAAGGTCAGAGTCTGCGAGCCTCGGCGTGCTGAGTATGCAGCCAGGGGTCATCTGCGCATTCCAGTTTGCCTGTGCAGCGGCTGCGTTGGCCGCTTGAGCTTGGGCTGCGTAGGCCGCGTACATGTCCATCGGCATGCCACAGCCGCCAAAGCCAGGGTAGGGCTGCATGGCTGCAAAAGACTTAAAGAAGAGTAAACACAAGTTTCAAAAGGTGCTCTTAAAGAGCCGATGCTTCAAAGCCGCACTGAGCTCTAACATCAGACTAAGTGTCACTGATATCCATGGGTACTGGGTACTCTGTTGTCCAATATTTGCTCCGTGAGCCTATAACTGCGTGCCTACCGTGCCTACCGCCTAGGACTGCGCAGTACTTTGATGCACTTTGATGCAAAACGACTTTTCCACGTGCTATCCTTTCCAGCCCTGGCAAGCGCAACGGCGCAACGGCGCAACGGCCATGCAAAGCAACGGCCAGGGTTTGCATGGCCCTGCATGGCCCTGCATGGCCCTGCCTTGCGTCCTTTTCCCTTGCCTTTGCCCTTGCCCTTTTCAGGGTCCACCCAGGCCTCAGTGCATCCTTCTGGAAACGCGGAGCAACGGAAACCCCGGGAGCTTTTGAGAAGATGCCTTCAAGCGCTCAGCGCAGGGCACCCGGGGCGGAGCCCCCGCCGCCAAAGTCCGCCTCCACGGGCACGAAGGCTCCCCCAGACTCGCCTGAAGCAACACGTTTCGCATGAAAAGGATTGAACATAAAGAGGCGCCAAAGGTGCCCAAGGGGTGCAAATGCAAGCTGAAGGTTCAAACTGAGCTTGAGCTTAGGCTCGCGCCTAGCTGAATTCCGGCGTCCTCCGCCGGCTGCTTGGCCTGAGCCCCAAAAAGCGTCCGTCTCTGAGCTGCAAAGCTGCTCAGCTGCTCAGCTTGCCGGGGCACGATATGCTCTGCAAGCCGAACTCCGGAGAGCCAAGCTGCTTCGATGGTAGATGCCCTCTCTGGGCAGGAGCTCAGCCAGTCGCCTTGGCACAGTGCCTGGACCACTGGAGCTCGCAGCTCAGCTCAGCTCTGGGCCTGCTATGCCGATGCGGTGAGCAGAGGACCAGGCAAAATCCGTTGCGTCCCTGCTGGCCCAACCTGCGAGTGCGACGAAAATGAAGAAAAAATGAAGAAAAATGAAGACACAATGAAGACACAATGAACAGAATGCATCGCTGGGGCACGTGTGATGGGCAGGGCTGCCCCCCAGAGCTGCAGCTTCGTGGCGCTCGCTGCTTGGAGGCTCCTTGCGCAGCGCGCCACGCCGGCGCGGCGCTTCACAGCGCTCCGCTCGGTGGCTCGGTGGCTCGGTGGCTCGGTGGCTCGGTGGCTCGGTCGCTCGGTCGCTCGGTGGCTCGGTCCCGGAAGGCAAAGCCACGGCCCTCTCCACTGCCGCCAGCATCAGCTCGATCACCTCACTGAAGGCACCGCGAGCCCCGAGCGAGCCCCGAGCGAGCCTCCGCTTCTTTGGCGGTACCTTCAAGGAACTCCTGCGAAGGCCACTGGAGGCCACTGGAGTCGCTGGACTCGTGAACATAACATACATCTAACATCCAGCTGCGCTACATCCTGCGGTGCTTTGTGCTGCTTGCCAAAGGATGGTGAGCTCAAGGCTGTCCAAACCTACCGGTCAGGGCAAAACTTCTGACTGGGGTGATCTTGAACACGTGGTCACTTCAGCATTTGATTGTATTGACAACCTCTGGATCTGATTCTGCTGTCATTTCTTCATTTCTTCTCGTTCCTTTCCCTCTGTGTTCCCTCTGTCCTCCGTTTCTCTGCTCTTTCCGACTTTCCGACTGGCCTCGCACTCTGCAGACTGCTGAAGCTTTGCCGTGTTCGAGGAGAGCCATCGCCTCGCAATGACATGCCGTGGGCCTCCACAGCTCGATTCATCCAAAGCGGCAGAATGGGCTCGTTCTCTACAAAGGCCTCACTTTGGACGCTGCACCCTCGCTTCCCTCACCTCCCTCACCTCCCTCACCTCCCTCACCTCCCTCACTCCCCTCCCCTCACTTTCTCACCATCCGACCATCCGAGTCCGAGACGGCGGCGAAGTCGGTGGGCATCAACCCCTTTGGCACCTGCGCGACTTCAACGAACCCCCTCCGAGTAGATCGCCATCGCCTCAAACAGCAAGGAGTAGATCTGGTTCAGAGTGAATCTTCCGCAGCCAGGCTGCGCACCTGAAGTGCAGCTCTCACGCCGGCTCCATTGCCGGTGCTGCCGAGAGGCGCGTCACGCTGGCAGCAAAGTTGGTGCGGAGCAGCGCGTGCACCTTCAGAACTTCACTCGCCACTTGAGTCCAACGACCCTTTGTCCCGATCCCCCCAAGTCCTCGCGGGCTGGTGTAGAGGACGTCAGCCGCTCTGCGCATTTTCCGTTGTGGGCAATGACCGCAGCATCGAACCTCTCCGTTGCCCGAGTTGGGCCCGGGATTGCCACGCTCCAGCTGCCATCTTCTACACTCAGCCCGTTGGATGGAGGCACCCAAATGTCCTGAAAGCTGAGGCGAACATTCACGCGATCACGCGACGCAAAGAGATGCCAATGGCGCGCGAAAACGCATGAAGCCCCTCCGCCAGGCCTGGCGCACATTCACCCCCTCCGCCAGCTTGCTGACAATGCCTCCCATGCCCTGAATTCCCACCCAGCGATCGCCATCTTCTGGTTGAAAGCCATCCTTCCGCAGCCTCCCAAAGCGTTGCAGGGGCCGAGCGGCTCCTCGCGCATCTGACAAGACCCCCCTACAGGCTTACCCGGCTTACAGGCCCTACAGGCGTACAGGCTGGAGTCCGCCGATTGTCAAGGGTGAGGCGCAGGGAAGGGTGCCACATTTGAGGCATTCGGCTCGAAACCTACTCTTTGGGTTCTGAGGCGTGCCTTTCGAGGCCTACGAGCAGCTTTGCTGATGCCGCTGATGTTGCTGCTATATCCGTTTTCTTGTTTTACAGGATCCACAAGTGACGCTATTCGAACTCTTTTGCTAAGCATAACAAACTGGAGAAAAGGAGTGCGGCTACCAGGGAAACCTACAACCTGTCTGCGTGCAGCTGCCTTTTTTGGAGATCCTGCAGATTATAGTCCAGCTGAACGCTGCGTCCCTTTTAGGTGGGGGGCCGCTTTCAAAAATCGAAACAAAGTGTCGCTAAACAATTGGCTTTGCCAAGGTAACCACGCCCCCACACCTGTCCGAAACCATGACTGCATGCGCGACAGCGAACCCTTCTGAATCCATCGCCTCACACCACAAAAACACACAGACTCAGGCACTCCAACAACAGGGGTCGGCGGCACTGGGCGGCAGCCCTTGCATATCTAACACTCACCATGATTGTGTGCACAACGTCTCATCTGGAACGAACTTGATGAGCTTCACTGCCACACGACGCGCTCCGGATGAGGCAATCAGCTCTCGAAATTCCGGGTCGGTAGTGGCAATGAACTGGCTCGCGTGGTCCACCACCTGCCCTCGCCTACCACAAAACGCCAAATGAACGTGGCACACGTGACATGCGTGTCTCCGTGCGTGTCTCCGTGCGTCTCCGTGCGTCTCGTGTGCGTCTCGTGTCTCACGGCCCCGCCACTGCCGCGAGGAGGCTCTGCCGCCGGGGCCGCGCTTCCCGGTGTCGAAGACCGTCGCAGAGACGCCCAGCTCTCCCAGGCGCTTGGCACACGCCAAGCCAGCCACTCCTCCGCCTCGCGAATGGCTCGAACCGAGAGAAACTGAACCGAAGGAACCGAGGGAACCGAAGGAATCGAAGGAATCGAAACGGGAAGTTCTGAGTTCTGAATGCGTGACTGAACTGGCCTATCACTGCCACGGTGCGAGGGCCAGAGGCACTGGCTTCGGCCCTCTGCCACCGCGGCATACGCCTAGACTTCATAAACTTCATGCCATGCTGCAAGCGGCACCGGAGCTCTGAGCCGACTGCGCCGCCCGCGCCGCCCGCGGAGCCTGAGATGCAAACTTCGTTTGGTTCATTGAGATTCCCATTTGCCGCGCCAGAAAGGGAAGTCGGAGTGGTGGTGAAGCGACCAATTCCATGCGACGAGCACGTTGCACGGAAGTGGGCGCTCTGGTTGCCGTACTTTGCTAATGCGAATTCAGAATTCGGGCAATTGAACCGCAGTGACTCAGCTTCGTGCAACAGTGTGTCTCCGAGCTTGCCGACTGCTCAACCCCTGTAATTATCACTGTTTATCCTTTTGCAGCCTGGCGAGAAAATATCCACAGGCAACTGTGGCTGCCAGAATGCCAGAGCGCTTTCTCGGAAAGCTCTGAGGCCATGGGCGCTTTCTTGGAAAGCCCGTCAGACACAGCCCAGCCGCCTTTAAGCGATTGCCCAAGGAACAGCCGACTGTCGCGAAGGGGTAAGATCGCCAGCACCTCCCAAACCTATGACTAAAGCGGTGCTGGTCGGAATATCGGAATGGATCGTCCAAAGCTCACTCAGTTTCCCTCTGTGGCGAAGTCTTCAGCAGCATCTTTTCGACGTCACTCCGCAGAGTGTCTAACTCCTATGGGAGGAATCCTGCTTTTGCCAAAATGCAGCTATCGGATTCATATCCGATAGCTCTTCTTGAGCAGTAGCCTAGCTCAAGTAGCTCACTCAAGTCCAAGAAAACTGCCCCTTCTTTCACCTCACCTTCTCGCAATTCAAACTCTTTCTCAGAGTCGTCCCTTCTACTTCTCTCTCCCTCTCTCTCTCACCTTCCTAGATCATCTCTCTCTCTCGTTCTCTAAACGATTCCGAACTCGTTGCTAAGTCTTTTCTTTCAGTCTTTTCTTTCAGTCTTTTCCTTCCTTCTTTTTCCTCTTTTGTTTCCTTTTCCTCCTTTCCTTTCCTCTTTCCTTTCGTTTCTTTTGCTTTTTTCCTTTCCGGTCCTCCCAGTTCTCCTGGGATGCGGTGCTGTTCGCCAGCTGCCGCGCCGCGGCCTGGCGCCGATCCTCGCGTCTCCGGGTCGGAACCGGACTCGGGCCGGGTGCACAACAAAAAGAGAGAAAAACGAGAGAAAAACGAGAGAAAAGAGAAAAAAAGATTTAAAACAAAAAAAGAGAGAAAAGAGAAGCTGGAAAGGAGAAGAACAAGGGAAGACACAGGAAAAAAACGCCATGAAAGGCATGGGATGGGATCGTACACATTCGCCAAAGCTCTTTGATGTGCCACTGAAGCACGCACATGCAGTTCAATTCGTTCAAGCCCGTGACTCGTAAAAGGCATGAAGGTGCCTGAAATAGAACCGAATACCGACAAATCTCAGGTCCTTCCACTCTGCCTCAATGGTGTCCAGCTGCACACCGCGTTCTTTAAAAGACTTGGACTGCTGGGCGGAGAGCCACCTCGCCATGATGAAATAGATCACCCAGCCTCAGACGTCCCAACCGGGCCTCAAAAAACCCGAAAGAACTCCACCTCCCAAGCAAATGGAGCAGCCAGCGAGTCCTCGTGCAAACTGTAAACATTCCGAAGCTCCGAAGCTCCGAAGCTCTCCGCGTCCCGTCCTGGCAGCAGAACCAATCCTGATGAGCCGTCCACCCAGAGCTGCAGCGAGTCGATGCTGTCAGTCAACTCAAAGCTACCGAAACCTCAGTCCAAGGAGTCCAAGGAGTCCAAGGAGTCCAAGGAGTCCAAAGCATGTGATCATCGTCAAATCTGAGCTCTGGGGACCCAGCAAATGGAGGAAGCCCAGTAAAAGAGTTGACCAGCCACAACCTGAATCAAACGTTCTCGATGCAGTCGCTGGCCGTCTTAAGAAGCCGGCTTGCCCCACCACTGCCAGGAGCAGGAGTGTCTTCAACCAGCACGGAACGTCTCTCCACCTCGCTGCACTCGCTCATTGTTTCTACATTGACTGCATGACAAATCTCCGCTTCCCTTTGAGCGACCCTGTCCACACATCGAAGAAAACCAATTGGAATTCAAAGACTGTCGAACTACTTCGCTGAAGTTCTGATGACAACCTCTGGCAAATGCCAAGAACACGAAACATCAGAGGGCCATCTGTTTTCCATGCGTACCCCTTAGCTTGGCCAACAAACAGGTTTGCTTGCGGACAGGCTCAAGGCCTATCTCATCCCCTAGCTCAAGGAAGCAACGCAGTTCCCCGATCCCGGCCTGATCGTCTTGCTCTTTGCCACCTCTCTCGATCTGAAATCCAACCAGTCGAGATTCAAGTTCTGCTCCAAGGGCTTAGACAACTGAGCGGGACACGCACACGTCACACGTCACACGTATGCACACGTATGCACACGTACATGTTCAACATGTCAATTCATTTGCCCCGCCTCCCACTCATTTTGGTCAAGCTCCGTCTGGATCGCCCAAACGCCCATGATCTGCAAGCCCGTGCACAAGGCACGTGGGGAAACGGCGAGACATGTGTACAATGACAACATTCGGAGACGAACCCCTGCCTGCAGCAACACGCACAAGCCAACGGATGCGGACCTCGGTGGCACATGCCCGCCCCCGCTCCCGATCGCCGCTCCGGGTCTGAGGCATCATGAAGGTGGCGATGCGGTCCCAGAACTGCACGGTGCCCGAATCGACATTGAGTCGCGTCGAGTGCAAGTTGAGTTTTGAGGTTTGTTCCAGTGCAGTTCACCGGCTTTGCCTCGCTCTCCGTCTTCTTGAGATAGAAAGAGCCCGACAGGGAGCAAGCCGCCACGAAGAAAACAATGGGCCTCTGGCCGTTGCGATAGACCATCGTGCTCATGCGACGAGTTTCACGTGAGAGCCCTGCAGTGTGCCGATCTCACATTCCAAGAGGGACAGGCGCAGGATGCCTGCCAGGACTGAGGTCGGCCTCAGGGAATCGGCTGAATCGGCTTTGCGAGCTGAGTGCGAGTGCCGAGCCAATCTGGACCTCCACAAAGGATGGACACCTTGCGTGTTGCGTGGGTTGCGTGGGTTGCGTGTGTGCCTGTTGCCCTGCATGCTCTCACAGCAATCTCAAGCTGTGCCCCGCGCCTTGCCCAGGCTCAAGCCAGGCTTCCGGAGGACTGCCTGGGAAGATCTCTGGGGTGAAACGCAAACCGCACGCACACAGACCTCGAGAGCGCGGATCATGGGCTGGTTGATGCCAACCTATCCAAGGAACATAGGATGATACCCACTTTCAGCACATGGCTGTTTTGTATGGCTCAAGGGTCAAAATGGTCAAACACGCTTTTTGCCATTTCAAAACTACGATTCGCACTCTCACAATCAACAGATTGGGCACGAACTGCTCCGTGGCAAAGTCACAACGATGGGACGTGTGCTGCCAGAATAGGTTGTGCCATTGCCATCACTGCCAGCAAGCCACAGCATATAGCTTGACCTGAGTCACAGTTCCTCTTTGCCAGAGACACTGAGAACGTACTTGAGCACCTCGACTGAGATCTTCAAGGCTAAGCGTGTGCCTGGGCATGGCCGCGCAGCTCCGGGGCATCCAACTGTGCTGTTGCAGCCGAGAATATGTCCGAGCTCAGCGTTGAAAGTCAACATCTTCTCCAAATGCTCCCTGCTAGGGTCAAACTGCAAAGCATAGGCCTGTGATGTGGATGGCCCGCCAAAGATTGTCGGATCGATGTTTCCGCCAGCATTCCAAATGTAGAATTCTTCGTTCTCTTCTGCATGAACGGCCCGGCCGTTGCCTAGAGTCAGGCTGCGCTCCTTATTGTTTCTTGTCAGCATACCAGCAACTCCTGGGTATAGACGTGCGGCCTCGCGCACAAAGGCATCCGGATCTTTCCAGAAGACAGTCCGCAAGTGTGGCTCTTTGCTGACCGCATAAAGCGCCGCACCGACATTGTCGCTTGTACCTCCAACACCAGCAAAATTTGTGATGAGAAGCATTTCGCGCAGTCTTGCCTCTGGATCGTCAAAGCCATACTGTGAGGCAGCCTTCAAGAACTCTTTGCCTACCTCTGCCTGCGTGACAGAGCCGACTATCTTCTCGAACAAGCCCCAGACCTGAGGGCCATCGGTCCCAGGTGCACATTTGCCAACTGCGCATGCTTTCGCCCTGTCTGCCCACTCATGCACCGCGTCCAAGATGTTGCTTGGAGGCATGAATCGGAAAAGGCTCCCGTAAAGCAGGCATGTAACTAACCTCTCAGCTGCAGCTGCATCTGTAAGCACCCACGGTGTCGTCAGACCAGCATGCTTAGCCGCTGCAGCAACGTCCATCTCAGGTGGGTTTAGGAGTGCTGGAAAGTAGTCATTGATGAAAGTGCGCCGCTTGATGCGTTCTGGGTTGTCAGTGTCCATGCTGATGACAATGGGGAAAAAGCCCTTTGGCACGAGGCCCTTGGCCTCCCATAGGTCTTTGACTGACGAAGCGATGAAAATGTCCGGATTTCTTCTGAGCTTTGGGTCGTTCGCGTAGCTTGTGACGGCCTTGTGTGAGAACAGAAACTTGCCATATGCACCTGGCTCTCCTGCTTTCAAACCGGCACCATCTGCTCCCCAGCCATGTGCAGGCACAAAGAGCTTCATTGGGAACATCCTGCGTCCGCAAGCAATGAGATCTGGCTGGGAAAATGGAAGGCTGAGACACAAAGCCGTACCAGTGATCACCTGCAAGGACTGAGCTGCAGCCATGGCAGGGCCTGGGTCCAGATTCTTTTGGATGTAAATGGTGAGTCCATCATTCACGGGCTTCAGAGCAAGTAGCCCAAGAGTGCTGAGGAGAACCACAACCCCGAAGCAGCAAAGCCGAGAGCAAAAGCCCAGGAAGCCCATGGCTGGTGCCACTGTAATTTCTGAACTTATGTGCAAGGATGTTGCGACGGAGTGCTGAGAAAAACAAGCAAATCGTTTCGAGCTGCGTGTTTTGCTTGATGCCGTTAAAGATTAGCGGAGAGCTGCGTCTGCGTTGCAACTCTGTCCTCCTTAGCTTGACTTTGAGTGAGCTAATTCTATGGAATTCCATTCCTTGCCCACATCCTTGACTTCTCACTTCTCTATGGCCTGCGCTCGGATGAAGGTGATGTTCCCCAGGCGCTCCCCAATGAGCTTCCTGACACGCACCCGCCCGGTCTTCAAGTCCTTCGCTGCATAAACACAAGAACAATACACCAGAATTACATACCCTCAAAACAACGGAAACATACAAACATAAGACCAAAGTCATACTATAGCATTGTTGATATTTGTAATGTATATATTTCTGTGAGTTTTAGTTATATGCATTTTACGTATTTGTATGTCTTCGCTGGGGCTGCCGGCTGCTGCATGGCGCAGGCCATCAGCTTCAGCACGAAGCCCACGCCGATGGCCACCGCCGCCCCGGCCTCGAAGCCTCGAAGCGACGGCGATTGACGCGTCCACGAGGCCAAAAGAGGCCCCAAATTTATTTCAGCTGACTTCCGAAAAGACGAGCCGGGCCGGGGGAGCCGGGGGAGCCGGGGGAGCCGAGTCAGAGGAAAGACGGAAAGACGGAAAGACGTCAAGTCGAGTTGAGTCGCGGGACTGGGATCGACTGGGATCTGGGCCCCAAGCCCCAGGGGCACCTGTCTGCAATGATGATGCCGGTGAACACGTACACTGGCACACCAGGGACCTGTGCACGCGCAGTCTGTGGGGGAGCCATTTCGTGTTGAGCTCGTCACCGGGGGCAGCAGGAAGCAACACAGGCCTCATCGCAAACTGACCATGTCACTCTCTGCTCACTCTGCTCACTCTGCTCTCTCTGCTCTCTCTGCTCTCTCTGCTCTCTCTGCTCTCTCTAGTGGCCTAGTCGCCTAGTGGCCTAGTGGCCTGCCTGCCACTACGATGCCCACACACACGACAGCAAAGTTCCAGTCAGCCATTGCAGCACTCATCCTAGGCACACGTCACAAGCAAGACTTGTGACATGCACATTGCACAGCTGAAGCGCTGGGGCGCTGACCAGGCCAGGAAAATATTGAGCATGATAGGAAAGGTAGTGTAGAGCATCATCAGAAGACCTGAAAAATGCCCGCCGCAAACTCAGATCCGCTCAGACAACTGAGGAGCCAACCAAAGACAAAGACCTTCATCAAAATGGAGATCCAGTTCCAGTCATGCTCCATTATTTCAACCTGCACATGCCCAATGCACTAACATGAGGCATACAGTGTTCCATTCCTTGCCTGACGGGCGATTCGCCTGGTGAAGTACGTTGACTCCTGACACGCTCCACACAGCCTTGCCGCATAGCACAATCTATTCGCTTCGTTCAACTTCAGCCTTTCCAGTCCTCCATTTCTATGGACTCCTGCTCTTCATCGATGGGCGCCCTCACATGCGAGATGAATGCGACTGGCACTTCTTTTTCCTTTGGCATCTGAGCTGGTCGCAGAGTCGTGGGAGCCTGAAATTGAAACGCATCGCAACCCGGCCACCCGACCGGCCACCCGACCGGCCACCCGGCGGCCCCGGCCCCGGCCCGGCCCGGCCTGCGCAAGCCTGCGGCATCCGCGAACCCGCTGGTTGACGAAGGAGAGCACCAGCCTGGCGACTTCGACTTCGAGTACTTCGACGACTCAGCGAGCAAGCCAGCTGAGGCATCGACACGAAGGGCACTGCCGGCGAGAAGCAGAACACCTTTCGGATCTGCCCAAATTGAAACCGAACAAGATCTGAAAACTCCGCAAAATCACAATGTTCAAATCGGCATTCACGTTTCCGGGCGCGTGGCAAGTAAAGCTCGGATCCAGTCGCCTTGATTCTGTGGCTTCGCTCGCTTGGCGTCGCTGTGAGGCGCCAACTCTGAAGAAGGCTCACAGCCAAGCGGTAGAGTGGCAGCTTCTGGCAAGACAAAGGGAGACAAGACGTCATGAACGAGACAAAGTCACACCCGAGTTCATCAAGTCGATCGCATCCATTGGTTCCGATCCCATGCCTGTTTCGATGAGTCTAAACATCTCCAAAGTCAAAACGACTGTCCCCCGAAGGAGAAAAACGATGAGAAGACAAGAGAAGAAACAAAACAAGGAGTCAAAAGCCCAAGAGATGTCCCCGGCCGCATCGCTTCATTCTCGAAGCTCCCGCAAGTCAGATTGACGTCCGAAACGGATTGATTGCACATGGAAATGCACCGAACACTCCTTGCACCAGTCCGTCATCACCTCGTTCTCACGTGTCGGCCGGGGTTGCCGGATGGAGTGAGGCCCCCACGGTGTTGAGCCGCTGGAAGGCGACGACCACGAAGAGGCAGAAGCTCATGGTGAAGACCCCCAGAAAGCCCAAGACCTCAAGCAAAACAAGGAGAACAAGGAGAACAAGGAGAACAAGGAGAACAAGGAGAAGAAGGAAAACAGAAGCACGAGAGCTCAAGAGAAGCACGAGAACAAGCTATGGGAGCCAGGCGAGATCAGATAGGTGGCTGTCGGAAGTGACAAGCTGGGAAGCCATCCAGGTTGTTCCAATCCTCGAAGCTCTCAACTCAATCAGTCGGGATGTGATTCGGATGCATCGGAGCTGCATCAAAGCGAAGACGCAGCCGCAGGTCTTGATCATTCGCGAAACTAGCTCAAGATTGCGCCTCGGCTCGAAGCGAATCGCGCTTCACGTTGCCCGGGGCTTCGAGAAAATGCGCAAAATAAAGCGGTCGGGTGACAAACATCAGGGAAACTGGCAATCCCACGATCCCCTCAAACTTCCGGACACAAGGTTGCAAGAAGGTGCCCATACCGGCTGAACCGGCTGTACCAAGGAAAGGCAACAAAGAACATGTCAGCCTAACAATCAAAGCAATGTGAGTGAAGCGAATCGATTTAAGCGAATCGGTTTAAGCGCACTCGATTGAGAGCTTTGCATCTGCTTCTCTGCAAACTTGTCCTTCTGAGCGTTGCCTTGTCAGAGGTGTTTGTCAGGGCCTCTCTCTGACATGGGTGTTTTGACTCGGGGAAGGCTTGAGACGATCCGTCTGAGATCCATGCTGAGCTTGTCAAACGCAGTCCTGTGCCCCGTGAAACGGATCAGGCAAAGTGGGCAACGGATCCCGCCTGCAGGTGTTGTCCTCCTCCTTCAGCTGCTCACTGACTAGGCCAACCAGCGTCTTCCGACGAATCGACCTGACAGGTCCCATGGATCCAAACCGAGTCGGACAAGTTTCAAAGTTGAAGTCAACCTGAGGCACGTGCCTGCGGCCACTCGCAGACTTAGTCAAAGCATCAAATGGCGCATATGCTTCGAGTCCTTCTTTTTACCTATGTGAGCGACCTGTGCGTTGAGTTCCGGTTGATTTTGCACATATGATACAAGCAATTGCCAAACAGCAACGTGACATGAAAGACCGGCTAGCACTCCTTTAAACAAAAACTGCATCAAGCTCCTGTGAATGCATGCCAAAAGAATGTCTAACAACACTTGCTTGCGAAGAGTTCTGAGTCGAGGCAGAAACACCGATTCATACGTGAATGATGAGGGTTGGCTTAGGCTTTGTTGGCTTAAGCGAGCTTCAGATTGGTCAGGTTCTAGGCTTAGGGCTGGTTGCGCTACTGGTACGTGTAGGTGAGTTGGTCGAGGTTAGATGTCGAGGGATATGATTGACTTGGGATTGGCCTTGGAGCTTGGGGTTGGCTCAGTCTAGCGTTGGCTCAGTTGGCTCATTGCGCATGTTGCCGCTGGGCTCCAGGCACACTCCTGGTCTTCCTCCTTTACCATCTTCAGCAGCATGTCTCCCTGGTCGTAGGAGCCGGCCAGTCCCACGCGCAAGGACACCTCAATCGGGATTTGCGAGATGCGCTCAACTTAAGTCAACTTAAGTCTCCAAAGGTCAAAGGCTTTGGTCCAAGTGCCCAGCAATGAGCCCGAACATCACGTACGCGAGGCCAACTGCCTCGGCAATTTCGCGACTCTCACGACTTTTGCATGCCACGCGTGTGGGTCCGGGACCACAGGGGAGATCCACCGCACGTACTGGAGCTCCTCAAGCTGGGCCAGGGACGGGACGGGCTGACGGCTGACGGCTCAGTCCTCTTCAGCGTTCACGAAGTCGACGTCACCAAAGTCGATGTTGTTACTCAAGGCCCACCTGCGAGCAACGAACTGACGCCTTTACATGTCTCCGGCAAGGGCCAGGCACCACCCAGGCAATCACTGTTATGACCCCGAGCCTTGGTCAAACAAGCGCGCAACACAGACGCTGCGGAACAAAATGCAGGACGTTCTGTGCACAGTGAGGGGGCTGGCAAAGGGGAGGAGTGGCATGAGGCAGCAACAGCAAGAAGGCTGTCATGCTGCCAGCGTAAAATGCAGTGGCATCTTTCTCGGAGCCCACATAGCGCCTCAAGTGACGGATCTTTCCGAAGATTCGTCCACAAGTCAAGCAACCTGATGCGGCACTGGCTGCACTTGCGTTGCACTGGCGTAGCACTGGCTGAGCCCTATGCACTTGCTTAAGAGTACTGTCAACCGGTCCGGGTTCCCGGGGTGGGCGTTCTTTTCTTCGCTCATTGTTTCTTGTCAAATCGGCTTGCTTCGCCCGCATGCCAGGCAGTCAGGCAGTTTGGCGAGCATATGGTCAGGCCAGGCAGCTTTGTCACTTCAGGCAACTTGGCACGCAAAGTTGGCAACCATTGCTCTACTCTCTGGTCGCCTGCTCTGAGCCCTGGATGAGATCCACCGCTTCAGCCTTCTTCTTCTCTTTCTCTTGTCTTCTGTCTCTTCTCTTCTCTTCTCGGCACTGTCTTTCTCTTCTCTGGCCGCAGAAGTGTACTTGCGTGCTTGCGTGCTGGCCTGCTTGCGTGCGTGCGTGCTTGCTTGCTTGCGTGCATGCGTGCGTGCTTGCTTCCTTGCTTGCGTGCTTGCTTGCGCGTGTGCGTGTTTGCATGCGTGCGTGCGTGCGTGCGTGCTTGCTTGCTTGCTGGCTTGCGTGCGTGCATGCTTGCGTGCATGCGTGCTTGCTTGCCTGCTAGCGTGCTTGCGTGCGTGCGTGCTTGCTTGCTTGCGTGCGTGCGTGCGTGTGTGCGTGCGTGCTTGCTGCCTTGCTTGCTTGCATGCTTGCTTGCGTGCGTGCGTGCATGCGCGCGTTCTTGCTTGCTTGCTTGCTTGCTTGCTTGCTCGCTTGCTCGCTTGCTTGCTTGCTTGCTTGCTTGCTTGCTTGCGTGCGTGCGTGCGTGCTTGCGTGCTTGCGTGCGTGCTTGCTTGCTTGCTTGCTTGCTTGCTTGCGTGTGTGTGTGTGTGTGTGTGTGTGTGCGAGCGTGCGTGCTTGCTTGCTTGCTTGCGTGCGTGCTTGCGCTCGTACGTGCATTTTTGCTTGCTTGCTTCCTTGCGTGCGTGCGTGCTTGCTTGCTTGCTTGCTTGCGCGCTTGCGTTCGTGCATGCGTGCGTGCTTGCTTGCTTGCTTGCTTGCTTGCGTGCTTGCGTGCGTGCGTGCTTGCGTGCGTGCTTGCTTGCTTGCGTGCTTGCGTGCTTGCGTGCGTGCGTGCTTGCTTGCTTGCTTGCGTGCTTGCGTGCTTCTTGCGTGCGTGCGTGCTTGCTTGCTTCCTTGCATGCTTGCATGCTTGCATGCTTGCGTGCTTGCATGTGCGTGCTCGCTTGCTCGCTTGCGTGCTTGCGTGCTTGCGTGCGTGCGTGCGTGATTGCTTGCTTGCTTGCGTGCTTGCGTGCGTGCGTGCTTGCTTGCGTGCTTGCGTGCTTGCGTGCGTGCGTGCTTGCTTGCGTCCTTGCCTGCTTGCGTGCGTGCGCGCTTGCTGGCTTGCTAGCGCGCTTGCCTGCTTGCGTGCGTGCGTGCGTGCGTGCTTGCGTGCGTGCGTGCTTGATTGCTTGTTTGCGTGCGTGCGTGCGTGTCTGCGTGCGTGTTTGCTTGCTTGCTTGCTTGCGTGATTGCTTGCTTGCGTGCGTGCGTGCGTGCGTGCATGCGCGCGTGCTTGCTTGCTTGCTTGCTTGCTTGCGTGCTTGCGTGCGTGCGTGTTTGCTTGCTTGCTTGCGCGTGTGTGTGTGTGTGTGTGTGAGTGTGTGTGTGTCTGTGTGTGTGTGCGTGCGTGCGTGCGTATTTGCTTGCTTGCTTGCGTGCGTTCGTGCTTGCTTGCTTGCGTGCGCGCTTGCGCGCGTACGTGCATTTTTGCTTGCTTGCTTCCTTGCGTGCTTGCGTGCGTGAGTGCTTGCTTGCTTGCTTGCGTGCTTGCGTTCGTGCGCGCGTGCGTGCTTGCTTGCCTACTTGCGTGCTTGCGTGCGTGCTTGCGTGCGTGCTTGCTTGCTTGCGTGCTTGCGTGCGTGCGTGCTTGCTTGCTTGCTTGCGTGCTTGCGTGCTTCTTGCGTGCGTGCTTGCTTGCTTTCTTGCTTGCTTGCTTCCTTGCTTCCTTGCATGCTTGCGTGCTTGCGTGCTTGCGTGCTTGCGAGCGTGCGTGCTTGCTTGCTTGCGTGCGTGCGTGCTTGCGTGCGTGCGTGCGTGCTTGCTTGCGTGCGTGCTTGCCTGCTTGCTTGCGTGCGTGCGTGCTTGCTTGCGTACTTGCGTGCTTGTTGCGTGCGTGCTTGATTGCTTTCTTGCTTGCTTGCTTCCTTGCTTCCTTGCATGCTTGCGTGCTTGCGTGCTTGCGTGCGTGCGTGCTTGCTTGCTTGCCTGCTTGCGTGCTTGCGTGCGTGCGTGCGTGCTTGCTTGTGTGCTTGCGTGCGTCTTGCGTGTTTGCTTGCGTGCGTGCATGCTTGCTTGCTTGCTTGCTTGAGTGCGTGCGTGCGTGCTTGCTTGCTTGCTTGCGTGCTTGCGTGCTTGCGTGCTTGCGTGCGTGCGTGCGTGCGTGCTTGCTTGCTTGCTTGCGTGCTTGCGTGCTTGCGTGCTTGCGTGCTTGCGTGCGTGCGTGCATGCTTGCTTGCTTGCGTGCTTGCGTGCGTGCGTGCGTGCTTGCTTGCTTGCGTGCTTGCGTGCGTGTGTGCGTGCGTGCTTGCTTGCTCGCTTGCTTCCTCGCTACCTCAAACTGCATTGGACAAGACTTGCGGATTTGGACGAAAAAATGCCGAATTCATTCTCTCTCCGTTCCCGGGTGCCGTGCTGCATCTTCATGAGCCTGTTGCTGGGCGACTTACCAACCTGCACCCGCGAAAGGCCGCCAGGCACATGCTGCACATGGCATGTCCATGGCATATCCGACTGATGTGCGCACACGCTCCGGGAGCGCTCTGCCTGCTCTGCAAGGGCGGCAGCCATCGGATCTTTGAAAACCGGTCTGGTCACAGCTCTCCTCGGACCCAATGGCCCGATGGCCCGATGGCCCAATGGCCCAACGGCCCAACGGCCCAACGGCCCAACGGCCCAAGCAAGGCTTCACGCGGCAAACTGAGGGGCAAACGTGGCAGTTGTCAGCAATGGGCCAAGCAAGACCGTGCACTGAATGGGCACTGACGGGTAGACCTGGCGTCGGACATACCGTCCGATTCAATGAAAAAAAAAAACAGATCCTCCGCCAGATTCAGGGCTGCAGCATAGATCCTTTGCACAAGTCAAATGCAGAACCCTCCAACCTCCAGGATATGGGAACCAAAGCAGTGATCCAGCCACAAAAGGCAGCATGGCTTCATGGCGCTAGACGTGGACTGAGAAGCGTACAGGACGCCCGCAACGACCAGGATGCTTCGGCCAACGCATCTGTCCTGAAACGCATTGGGTCAAGGTCCCATTGCAGCGTTCCTTGGAGCCTGGTTGTAGAGAACGAAGTACTGGCCTTGCAACGAAGCCAGTGCCACAGAAACACCTAGCGAGAATGGTGACCCGCACCTTCCAGGTGCGGTGGCCAAAAGAAGTCCTCGAGATACCTGGCGAGAATCGAAATGCATAGACGGGCAGACCTCACGAATCGTGCGCACAGGGCCAGAACGATGCAGAATGCCCCAGCGCCCAGCGCGTAGCCTTTGACCTCAAGTCAAACATTCTCGAATCTGCAAATTGCAAATGAAGCGGCTGCTTGCCTATTGCAGCCATGAAGCACTGCCTTCCGAGAAGAAGCTGTAGACATCCTTGCCCCAACCTGCATTGCATTGCAACGCACTGCTTGTACACTCAGCTGACAGTCAGTGCCTATGTCGGACCACAAAAGGATGGCAGCAGCGCACGGAATGCCGGAAACAGCAAAACACAGGAAGAAGTACCTGACACTTGACGACCTGACTGCAGGCAAAGCAAAGCTTGCAAGATATTGGCGCACGCCAGGAAGCCATACCTTTCAAATGGGATGAAGACGGTCTGAAGAGGTTCAAACAAGGCCCTGGCCCTACACGATGTGGAGCCTGCCGGCTCGTTTTGTTTGACTTGGTCATGTGGCAATTGCATCTGGGCTCTCGCCAGTCCTCGGCAATCTCGGGCATCACGCCTTCAGTGTCGAGAACCTGAAAGGCACACGCTAGCGCGGGTCTGGCTTGAAAGCCAAAGCGCCTTCTCACGTCGTCTACACATGAATCATCCCACATGATCCTGTGCATCCGGCATCCACAACATGTCCAGACCACACAGCTGGCCTGAGCCATGTTGTCCGCGCAACATAGGCGGAATGCGCTAAGCCAAAGGATGCCAGATTGAAGCAAGCACAAGTGTGTTACACCTCTATCAGCTTCTCTTGTTGCAGATGGTTCACCAATGCAGTTCTGCGGACGCATCACACTGCATTTAAGGAAATATTGGACCCCAGGAAGCCTTTCTTGGCGTGTCAACGGTTTTCCTGCACTCACGCGTCAACGCGCTCTCAGGCCTCCTCCTCCTAGCAAGAGGCAAAGAGAAAGCACGGACTGTGGCAAGCGGCATTAGCGGCATTAGCGGCAGCATTAAATCTGAGTCCTCAGGAAGTGCGAGCGCCTCCCTTTGGCGATTGAAGTAGGGTCTCAAAACCCACTCGACCTGCGACGAGCACTGAGGATTCCACCTGGAGACCTCGCTCGCGCCTCGACATCCTTCATGTCAATGGCCCCCAGCTCCACCCTGAAAAGCCTCCGAGGCAAAAGAGACTCGGGGCAAGAACTGAGACCTCGAGACCGAGCTGTCCATTGCCTCATGGTAAAGCGAGGCCCGTTCTCAGTGAGCTTCACCTCTTTGGCCTTGCCAACTTGTCACTGGCCCCCTGGCCCCCTGGCCCCCTGGCCCTCTGGCCCTCTGGCCCTCAAGCGCTCTCAAAGCTGCCGGCACGAGATCGGCCCTCAGCAGCTCCTTTGGGCCTTTGCTTCAGATTTCTCAGATTTCTCAGATCTCGAACATTCGAACGAGCTTAGGCCTCTCAAAGGTGTGGTGCCGGAAGTGGATCACATCGCGGCCTCTCCGCATGCGCGCGGGCGCGACTCTTCCTTCTCGGAACCGTTCCCAGCTTAAGGCGTGAGCGATTTGCAAAGGTCATGACTCTGTCTCCAGCTTGCTTGGCTGGAGGGAACAAGGCCTCATCTAAGCTTTGCTCACTTTGCTTGCGTTGCTTGCTTCGCTCACTGTGTTTGCTTTGCCCACTGCCGGTGAAGCCAGCCTGCAGAACCGTCTTCACGCGAAGACCCATCTTTGCTGTGAACCCATGGAAGATGAGATGAGGATTCGCCTGAGTGCAGAAACGGATTCGCCCTGGACACGTCGAGCCTTGCTGTCTTGCCTCAGACATGGTCGGGGGCTTCTCTGCCAGGTCATGGCGAAGGACCACATTGGACAGGCCTCGCATCTCCGACTTCTCCGACTACGTTTCCGACTTGTCCGACTTCGGAGCTCTCGCGAATCCCCAAAATCCAGATCGAGATCCTTCCGAGCGGCCAAAGTAGGCCGTCGGGCCGAAGGGCAAGTGGCAGATCACCATACCATCCGGCTCGCCTCTGTGCTCGTGGACTATGATGACCTTAGTCCGTTTTCCTCAAAACTCAAAACCAGACTATCTGACTAGCATGAAGAACCTTTGAAAGTGCTGACCTGCACCTGCACGCCTCTTGGAATGATGCGTCTGTCATCTCGTGAGATCGAGCTAACTGCATCAAATCCTCGCAAGCGTGCGTGGCACACAGATTCTGCGCCCACTCTGTCCTTCACGACATAGCCTCCTCGATTCATCCTCTGCGCGCCGGGAAACCTGCGGCACGCATGAGACTCTGAGACTCTGAGACTCTGAGACTCTGAGACTCTGAGACTCTGAGACTCTGAGACTCTGAGACTCTGAGACTCTGAGACTCTGAGACTCTGAGACTCTGAGGCTGGGGAATGAGGGGCGCACAACATCCTGAGCTCTTTCAGGAATTGGCTCAAGCGCGATGATGGATCGCGGGAGGTGGTGACAAGCACCTGACAGTCTCAACCAAGCTGATCACGAGCAATGTGCCCCGTGTGCAGGCACTCTGCACACATCACCCTGCTACAATATCGCAGAACCATGCTGAGAAATGGATGCTTGCAATATCGAGTAGGTGCTCGCGGTCAGAGCAAAACATGTCAAATACGGCGTAAGCCTCGCTTGGCAGGCTTCTGACATCATGCCAGGCAGTAGCATGTAGCGACGCGAACACCAACATGAAGGACTCGCTAAGGCATCCGGTTTTCTTATTCTTCCACCATCGTCCAAAGCTTGCCCCCAAATAGGTGGGTTCCCCAATTCTCATAAGGAAGGGCCGAATCCCGATCTGGAGACCAGGTTGCTGCGAGTGTGCTGTTGGGTGTTTGTGCAGAATGCCGCAGAGTGCTGATGTAGGGATGCTCTTACAGGCAGATCGGGGTTTTGCTCGGCTAGCTGGAGTTCACACTGGTGTTTTTCGACTTTCGGCGTCCGGAAGCAAAACCTGACAACCTCCATGAGGTTCACAACAGTTCTGAAAACGTGGACACTTGCATCGAGCTGTCCAGGTTTCAAGGGTGTTGGTTTGATTCGGTGAAGTCGCAATCTCTCGGAGTGATACGTCCAAGGGATCAGGAATAGCAACATTAGCAACATGGCCGGTCCAGTTTTGTGCTCTGTGCCTTGGGATCCTTGACGCCAAGGTAGGCGTACTCATCGTCCATGGCCTTCTTCTGCTCCTTGGTCTGGTCGTCCGCCAAGTCCAAAGTCTGAAGTCAGCATTCGCCCGATTCGATCGAGCTTCTGTTGCGCACCTTGCGGAGCTTCTTGTCTTCGCCCCTGAGCTCTGCAGGGATGGGCTTGTTGTTGTCGAGCGCCTCCGTGTAACTCGCAACTTGCCTATCCATTTGTTCCACATATGAGCGCTCACATGGTCCTTACACATTCTTGCTATGTTCTGACTCTCTCTCTTGCCTCTTGGAGTTTGCGCTTCTTCTCGAAGGTCGTGGCTTCCCGATCCTCCAAGGCCTGAACCACGCGTTGCATGCGGCCAAAGGAGTACCTTTCTGACTCTGTCTGCCCTTTCCTTCTTGTAGAGGTACTCCTTACGAAGTCGCGCATTTCGGCGAAGCATGGCACACCGAAGGCCGCAATGCGAGATGTCGGTGCTTGCCGGATCTCCATGTGTTTGTTTCCCCCCGCTTTGTGTAGCTCCGAACATCGGAGGTCAAAAGGCGCAGCTTGCTGCAGAAAGCTCCCTGATTTAAAGTCATCTCAAAACGCGCTGCGGCCAGAGGCAATAGAACGGAGCGGTCTATCGGAGGCGCCGGTTGCATCCAATGCTATCGGAGTTCGCGTCTTTTTCACCGAGGTGGCTCCCACTGTGAATGCCCTGTGCCTTGCGCCGTGTGCCGACTAAAAATGATCAAGACCAAACATCGCCGTGACTGCAGAAACAAAAAACGAGACTTCTGCAGAGCAGCTCTGGTTGTGGTAGAACACGTGCCCTTCTGCAGTTGTGTAGGCCATCCAGCCCTCTGGCAGCTTCCAGGGAGCCCTCCTTCGCTCAAAGGAAAAAATGCATGAGAAAAGAAACATCTTTCAAATAAAACTGCGCTACTCTTTGAAAAAGCATGTCTCAAAAGATATGTTCACATCCAAGGCTCGAATCTGACCCGTGCGGCGAACCTTTGTTGGCATGGCTGTATCCCTGATGCTGACCTTCGTGCTGCTTTCGCTGCTCCTGCTGCTCCTGCGCGAGCTGAGCTTGTCGCTCTGGCGCAATCTGTGCAGGATTGTACACCCTAGCAACCCCATCGGGGGGTCCACAGTTTGTTTAAGCGTTTAGAGCCTCTTAGAGTGTTTGGGATGGGTTGAAGGTTGGCTTAGGGGTGCTCAGGGCCATGAGTCTTAGGCTTACTCAAACAAAAACGCACACACCTGCAGAAACCCACAAAAGGCAGGGAAAAAACAAGAGAAGCCTAGAGAAGAGGAAACACAGCTGTCCGATTCCCGAGCCTTCAGCTCCGAGACTCGCTGGCCATGGCTTGTTGCCAGCACAGACACTGCCTCCACGAGGAAAAAATGGGTGTCAGAAAACCAATTAAGAAGCAAAGATCACCAAAAACAAAAAAAGTCTTGAAAAAGAGGGAGAACAAAAAAGAAGTCAAACTCGAGACGCCAAAACGGGTTCTTTCCAACGCCGCCTCCGCCTGGCGCCCGAGGCGGTCCGCGGCGTCCTCCCAGGCGCTGACCTTCACCTCCGGGGCAGCGAAGCGGCCCAGCGGTGCCAGGAAGGCCGCGGCCTGCGAGAAAACAAGCCAGGAAAGAAAGAAAGAAAGAAAAGAGAAAAGAGAAAAGAGAGAGAAGAAAACGGAAAGAAGAAGGAAAGAAAAGAGAAAGAAAAGAGAGCAGGGAGAGAAGAGAATGAGAAATGAGAGAAGTAGAAACTTTCAAGAGAGAATGAGATCAGACTGTCCGATCCCCTCCTCGGGGCAGGACCGGTGGATCTGACTGAGCACCTCGCGAAGGCAATCGAAGGCCACATGGCCGACATGGCCGACATGGCCGACATGTGCTTTTTTTTTCCTTGCCAAGGCACCGCCAAGAGCTCGTCCCTTTCGTCCATCTCAATGATCTCAAATGCATTCGATGCATTCGACGCATTCGACGCATTCGGCGGAGTGCGCCTGGCACTGGGACGCCTGGGACGGCTCCTCGGACGGCTCCTCTGCGAATCAAGCGAGGCGCGCGTCTCGCGTCTTACGAGTCCTTCGCCGTCGCAAGGTCGGCCTCATCCAAGGCCAGGGCCAGCACCTGAAGGCAGGTAGAGACTGCACGCGTGGCATGTTTAAGAATGGAACGGAGAAATATATTAATCTATATATATATATATAAACAAGGTGAGTACAAACAATTGTATGAAGCAGATTGCATAAAACAGATCTTCAGGAAAAGAGTGAAGGATGTCATACCACGAAATATGATGAAATATGTGTACGTGATAGAGTCGGCAGACTGAGACTCGAATGTCTAGAGGATTTTAGAGGCTTGGGAAGACGTCTCTCGCGTGCCTGGAGCTGCTGCTCAAGCTCCTGTGCTCATGCGACTTCGATTCTCTCGAATCGCTCGAATCGCTCGAATGTTTCGAAGTCCTGGCGCTGCTCCCGCAGGGCTTGGCGCTCGCGCAGTCTGGCCACCTGCCCGAGCCCGAGCCCGAGCCGAGCCCCAGCCTGGGAAAACGCCCCCAAGAAGACGGCAAGAGGTGCCTCCACCGAGCTTCGGCTCGCCTGCAGAAGGTCACACCTATCGCGTGGGCAATCAGAAACGAGCGGTTTGCTTTCTTGAACTTTGCGCATATTTGATATGAAATGTTGAGGCATGACCAGGGATTCTCTTGAATTTCGCAATAGCCGCATGGGAAGTGGTGAGTTCAAGGTAACAAATGAAACTGCTGAAAAGGGCTGATACTGGAGATGCCCGCTCAAAGAGGCTGACTTGCCATGGCTCGAAAGCGTCACAACATCGTGGCGCGTGCATCTACCTCCTGCATGCTATCTGACAAATTCCGACGTCGCGCTTTTCTGGGGACAGGACTGCACCTGCAGCGCCTCGCACTGCTTGGTGAGCGCCCCAACCTTGCCAGATCTTGCCAGATCTTGCCAGCCCCGCCCAGCGGCCATGACACGCACTCGCGACTCCACTCGCGCCTTCCAAAGCAGCAGAGTCTTGTCTTCGTCCGTCGTGAGCTTCCGCAGCTCGTGGTTCTCTGACTTCAGCTGCTGCACCTTCCGACTTCCCACTATGCCCACTTCTTGATGCCATGAGTTCGGAGACTGCATCAACACGGTAATGCAACAGTCATACAACAAATGTAGTCACATAATGTATCATAGTGATATCCAGAGGCAGCTCTGTCTGACTCCGTGCCTCTGCTCGCAAGTCCCGCAGCTCCTTGTCCTGCATCTTGATCAAGTCCTTGAAGTGCCCTGCGACATCCTGGAAAAACGGCCGCGTGCCTCGCGTGCCTCGCGTGCCTCGCGTGCTTCGCGTGCTTCCGGCTTCGTCTTTGCTTCGCGTCCTCGGCCATGCCTTGCGCCGGCCGCTCGCGCTCACCTCGCCGCGCCCATGCGGCACTTCCGATTGCTTCACGTGTCAATGAGTCAAGGCCTTGCTCTAGCCAAATGCGCACCTGGCAAAAGCGATCTCGAGTCTCGGCATAAAGCACAGGCATCTAGTCTGGCGGCTCTGGCGCAACTCAGCTTACTGCCATCGCATCTTGAACTTTCTGAAATTGCGAGGAGGCCCAGGCGTGAAAGCCTGAAGGACAGCTGTTGCATTGCGAGTCAAGTCTCTAAGGGCCCTGCCCCCATGGTAGCGCTGGGCGTTTGCAGGCTTGTCAAGGCATCTCTGGAAATCCTGAGGCATTGCTCGGAGTCCGACTTTCGGACGATGCACCCGAAGTCTCCTCTGCGGCCCGGGTGAACGTCTCAACGCCTCGATTGCGATCGAAGATTTGGCGCCCGAAACCCGAGGCCAAAGGCCAAAAGGCCGACCGAACCCACCCCGACCGACCCCGACCGACCTGGGCGTCTGGCCACGGGAGGCGATGATGTCCATGAGCCGCGAAGCACCCACCAACCCGGCCTCCTCTCGAAAGAGAGTCTGAGAAAGAAATCTCAAATCAAGTCGAAGGAAGGATCAAGGATGTCGGTTCTCGAGTGCCAGACGGGCAGCTCCAGGAGGCAGGTGCCCAGCACCAGCGCCGCCAGGCCCCGCACCTTTCGGAAATCCATCCGAGTCGTAAGAGTAGTCGAGTTCGAAACTCGAAATCGTCTGAGTTGAGATGAGAGCTGGAACGAAATCGGCTGACCAGCTAATGCCGCATGGGCGACATGCGTGGTGGCCGCTGTGGTTGACGACTCCAGCAGGGCCATGAGCTCGGGCAGCTGTGCGGGCGAGGAGGAGATGACCTCAAAGGAATACGCGAAGATACGAAACCGGTGTTCTCAAACAAGAAAACATCACGCACGCACGCACGCACGCACGCACGCACGCACGCACGCACGCACGCACGCACGCACACACGCACGCACGCACGCACGCACGCACGCACGCACGCACGCACGCACGCACGCACGCACGCACGCACCCACACACACACACACACACACACACACACACACACGGCACACACACACACACACGGCACACACACACACGGCACACACACACACACGGCACACACACACACACGGCACACACACACACGGCACACGGCACACGGCACACGGCACACGGCACACGGCACACGGCACACGGCACACGGCACACGGCACACGGCACACGGCACACGGCACACGGCACACGGCACACGGCACACGGCACACGGCACACGGCACACGGCACACGGCACACGGCACACGGCACACGGCACACGGCACACGGCACACGGCACACGGCACACGGCACACGGCACACGGCACACGGCACACGGCACACGGCACACGGCACACGGCACACGGCACACGGCACACGGCACACGGCACACGGCACACGGCACACGGCACACGGCACACGGCACACGGCACACGGCACACGGCACACGGCACACCGGCACACGGCACACGGCACACGGCACACGGCACACGGCACACGGCACACGGCACACGGCACACGGCACACGGCACACGGCACACGGCACACGGCACACGGCACACGGCACACGGCACACGGCACACTCAACACGCCGGCCTCCGCAGCCGCCGGGCAGCCGTGGCACCACTCGGCCAAGAGCTGCAGCAGTGCACAAAGGCACATCTCGGCGTGAGCCTGGCGCACATTCGAGGCACATTCTCGCCAGGTGCAATGCCTGGGCCTCGGATCGCCAGGCGCGGGCCAGCGCCGTGGTTGGGCCCAGTAGGGACGAGAGAGACGCACCCGACTCCGGCCTGGCAACTGTGCCTTTTCCAGGTCTCTCTGAAAGCTTCGCCTGGCAAGTTGTCCACGAAGCTCCGGCTCGCAGCGCAGGCAGTGACCCAGCCTCACATCCGGCCTGGCAACTGTGCCTTTTCCAGGTCTCTCTGAAAGCTTCGCCTGGCAAGTTGTCCACGAAGCTCCGGCTCGCAGCGCAGGCAGTGACCCAGCCTCACATCGGTTCCACTCCCCGGGTGTCATTCGTAGCACCGAGAGTCCAGCAGCCGCGCAGAGAACCAAGTGTTGGATGGCTCGACGGACTGACAGCTCTGACAGCTCACGACTGCTTCTCAGCTTCTCTCACGAGAGCCTCAAACTCCTCGCCTTTGCCGAGATCTCTGTGAGGGCACGTAGGAGGCCTTGCTCCGAATGCGCCGGCCTTCCCAACTCCATCGCCAGGGCCTAGGGCTCTGGCCTCCAGTTGAGTCCTGCGAAATGGGGACGGCACCAAACTCGGAATCAGGTGAAATCGATCGCCTCCTGAAACATGTGAACCAGGGCCTGCCGGCACGTCCACTCACCTCTGAGCCCAAAATGTGGCTCGCCTGGCGAACATCTTGGCTGCGCTCGATGGAGGTCATCAGCAAGCCCTGGCATGGACACGAGCTCTCCCAAACATTTCCGGGTTTCGCGTGCCTCCAATCCCGTTCGCAGCTCTGACACGTTCGCCTGTCTGACATCTGTCTGACATCGCTGCTTGCCCTTGTGGCCTTGCACGGTGCCTCCAGCAGAGCTGCCACCAGCAAATCCAGCACAGTGCCGCTTTGCAGCGGGGCCTCCATGCAAATCGAACACGGCTTTGCGCGGCTTTGCGCGGCTTTGCGGCTTGCGACGCTCACCTGCAAGAAGGCCACCGTTGGGACCACCTTGGCCGCCCCAGCCAAGACCTTGGAGAGGAAAACGAACGAGAAAACGACGAAAAAACGAGGCTTGCCCGCTTGCCCGCTTGCCCGCTTGCCCGCTTGCCCTCTTCCCCTTTGAGAGCGATTCCCCACCTCGACAGCTTGCAGCCGCAAGGGATCCAGGCGAGGATACGGCAGCACCTACGGGCTCCGAGATGCACACACCACACACCTCTCCCAAGCTGCCTCTTGGCAGACCAAATCCACCAAGCCGGACTGCACCTCGGAACTTCACATTTGGCAAATCGGGAAATGCGGCCCAAGGAACAGGCGATAGCTTTGGAGTTGTCAGCCGCCTCAATGCTCTGGCAGAAAAAGCTTTCTGGACAGCCGCGCTCGCCTCATTGCTAGCCTTCGCCACAAAGGTTGCCAGGCATTCCTGCAAAAGGCGGCTGCAGTGGCTCGGGTGACGGTTCGACTTTTGTCGTCCAGCAGTGTGGTGGCCACGTTCCGAAGGCCCGACGTCCACTCGTTCGCCTCGCACTTCCAGCACTTCCATCCGCATGGTGGCCGCAAGTCTCCTGCCTCAGACAGCCCCAGCGCAGCGAACACGGAGTGCAGGGTGCGGGTCAAGGTCAACAAATGCCCAGCCTAGCAGTCCGCAAGGTCAAATGCGAGGGGGAGAGATGCAGAAGCAAGACTTGAAGAATGGGTGCTGAACTTCTGAAATCCTTCCCAAAACAGAGGCAGGTTGCGGAATATCAGCGGTCTATCAGCCTCTCGCATGTACTTCTGCGCAACTGGGCCCTGTCCAACCAGTTGCTTCACGCAGACCTGGCAGCAAGCTTCCAAGCAGAACCCGCAACTGGCGCAACTGGAGTGAGCTCACGCAAGCGTCCACCGCCAGATCGGCCGCCTCGGCGAGAGGCCAACAGCAAAAGATTCGGCAAAGGATTCGGCAAAGGATGCCGCTTGGGAATTCCGAGCCCGAGGCGGGCACGCGCGCGCTCAGCGCCCGGGCGGCGATGGAGAGCAAAGCCTATCAAATTTGACTTCGGGACGCACTGAAAACTCACACATCAGAATCTATATTCTTTGCACTGTCTTAATTCTATACTTATATATGACTTTTCTGTTCATCTTGCATTGGCTTTTTTTATACACTATCCGTCTTCTTTTAATAATTGAATCTTATGGCCCTGGTTCCTTTCTCTTGACCCAAGCAGAATCATTCCAAATTCAAGAGTTGATGGCCTGGGTAGCACCTCTAACGTATATGCTTCTACACGTTTACCCGGCCTCCGCACCATCCTGAAAGGTCACAATCATGCGCACATCCCCATCATTGGCTGTCACCAAGCGCAGAAAGCGAACCTCAGCTCGCGTGACCCTGGCTCAGTCAGTGAGCATCGGGCACCGCGCGCACTCCGCACAAAGCACGATTTCCGCACTCCGCTCAGCTTCCCATGTGGAAGCTTTAGCAGCCTGGAAAGGCAGACAGGTTTCTGCATCCCATCCCTTTTCTCTCGCTCGTCTCTACCTGCCCGGTGAGCCCGGTGAGCCCGGTGAGCCCCACCTGCAAAATCTGGGTCAGCGCGGAAATCGACTCGGGGTCGCTGAGGAGATGCCGCCCCAAGACCTCACGGACACACGGACACGAGCCCGGCGAGATCGACAGGACGGCACTGCGCTGGTCTCCGGATACACCCGTCGCAGCAGGACGAAGCCTGAGCTGCCGCCGCTCAACCGCCCCGTTTGCCAGTTCCTGCCTTGCGTGCGCGAGGCCAAATCTTGAGCCTAGAGAAAATGAAAGTGAAAGGCCAAGAGATTTGGATCTTTCGGGTGTGGATGGCATGCGTTTGGCTTGCGGGCTTGGTGCTTGGGCCTGCAGCAGCTTCAGCATGGCCTTTCCGTTTTCCGTGCGCCGCACGATCTGCTCATGGAAGGCGCGGAGCTCCTCGCGAACTCCGACCCGAGACCGAAAGCTTGAGTCGGAGAGACCTCGGGAGTCGTGCCGGTGAGGTCCAGGGCCTGGCCCATGCCATTCAAAGTCCTGACGCGCACCATCGCCAGATCCCAACAACTCGCACGCTTTCCGAGCTTTAAGGGTCTGTTGGGCAAAGAATCAAAATGTAAAGGCAACACGGATAGCTTTGAGACTCTTCTTGCTCTCAACGCGTCCTTGCCAGCGGCCCGGCCGCGAGCCTCGCTGACCTCCAAACAGGAAAATGTGACAGGCGATGAAGCATGAAAGCAGCATAAAGCAGGCTTTTGCAGAAGCTCGGAAGAGAAGTGCGAAGTATGTACATCTATATTTAACTATATGTATGTATATGTTCAGATATATGTCACACCGTGAAAATGCACCCCTTTGGCACATCAAGGCCAACAGAATAGAGCCAGAGTACATTGCAGCCGTTGACACAAAGAACGTGCTGAGCCGATTCAGCTTCACACTTAGGTTCAGCCACCTTAGGAAGCCAGGTTACAAGTTGCTCCTAGCGGAGCACTGAACACAGTTGCACACCTGGGAAAGATCTGGCGGCTTTTCCATACAACACACAAAGAAAGGCGGCCCAACGACAACGACAACGACAGCGACAACGACAACCACAACCACAACCACAACCACAACCACAACCACAACCACAACAACAACAACAACAACAACAACAACAACAACAACAACAACAACAACAACAACAACAACAACAACAACAACAACAACAGCAACAACAACAACAACAACAACAACAACAACAACAACAACAACAACAACAACAAGGTGGCCTTCACCCTTTGCGGCCTGTATATTCACACCTTCTTCGCACAAAGTGCTGGTTTTCACCAGTCATGAAATTCTGACCAAACACAGTCCAGTCGAAAAAAGTTGACTCGAGGCAAAAGCAACAACAAAAGCAACATCAACAGCCACATCAACAGCAACAGCAACCAACAAACAACGACCTTCTCGTTGGCGGCAGGGCTGCTTGACCGGGGGGGCCCTTCCCCAAAACGACCCCGAAATCCCTCCCTCGTTGACTGCGTGCGCATCCTTTACCAACGCTATGCCCCCACCCCACCCCACCCCACCCCCCTGTTGACTGCGTGAGCATCCTTTACCGAACGTTCTTACCCCTCCGACTGCGTGCGCATCCTTTACCGAACGCTACTGCTCCACCCCACCCCATGTGTTCTGTTTTTCAGACCATTGATCTCCCGCAACATTTGGCTCAAGGGCCCCTTTCGTAGATCACAATCATCCGTGATAGCGTGTGACAAAAGAGCCTCAGCAGGCCGCTTACAGGATTATCCACAAGACAATCCACCATCCTCCAATCATCCACACTGGCATTTTGGATTTTCTCCGGAATAGATCCAGGGACCAACAACGACCTCAACTACCACAGGGTTCCAGTTCCCTCCGGGGATAGGCACTTGGGGCCGGGGGGCTCAATTTGTGGTAGCAGAGCGGGTTTTCCGCAGAGATCCAAGGGAAGATGTCATCCGGTGGAGAAGGCTTCATGGAAGCCTATACAAGTATGGCCAAGCCGAGCTATACGGAGGAAACACTAAATTTATCGATGACCGCCAAGCAGCCGCCATCGTACGACGGAAAAGTCAGCTGGTTCAGGTACGAGGAACTCGTGAACGACTGGGTGACCATCACCACAGTAGAAGCATCCAAGCGAGGTCCATTGCTTAAGAGCAGACTCACTGGAGATGCTTACATGTACAAGGCCGTCCTCCAGAATGATCTTTTGCAAGATCCTGATGAAGGAATCAACTATTTCAAGAACACGCTGAGGAAGTACTTTTTGAAAGGTGCGACCAACGTGTATCTGTACAGACTATTCAGTTTCTTCAATCATCGGAGGCAGAAGCAAGAGTTCCTCATTTTTACCTCAAAATTCGAAATCCTACTTATGAGACTGAAGGCAGCATGGATGGACTTGATGCCAATCTTCACGGCACAGTCTCCATCATTTCGACAGTCCGCACAGGATGCAAATGCAAGAACAATTGCGCGACATCAGCAAGCAGCCGGTGGTAGCCCTGCTCAATGAGGACGATCCGACAGTCCTTAGACAGTATATCCAAGGAATGCAGGACAGACAGCGGGACGCATTTCCCTTCGGGGATAATCTCATTGCACAGTTTTTCATTATTCAAAGTGAGTTGTCAGATCAGCAACGAGAAAGACTGACAAGTGCAATGTCATTAAGAAACATCTCCCTTGAGAATTATTCCTATGAGATGCTGAAGACGCATTACCATGAACTCTTCATCACGACGAGGACATCGATCCAAGATCCATCCATCCAACCTCAAGGAGGCAGCCAAAGTAACACATTCTTCATCATCGAACAAGGTGAATACGAAGGAGAAGAAGGCTTCTGGGTTGAGGATGAAGAAGGACTTGAAGGATTCATGTCAAACAACGATGAAGAGACGTTCTGGGTCCTCGAGGAGAACGATGCGTTCATAGCAAGAAAAGTGTCGGGGCGGAACTTCAAGTTCAAGAAGAGAAAAGGAAAAGGAAAATCAGGAAACAAAAAGGGCAGTCACCAACGAGGTGGCTTTAAACCCTTCAGAAAAAGCGGTTCTGGCGGAAAGGCCAATATGGCCAACGAAAACTATGATCCCTACGACCAGGCATATTGGGGAAAAGGCAAGGGAAAGAAAGGAAAATCAAAATTCCAATGTCCCTATGATGGAAACAAAGGTTATCCATCCTATGAGAGTGGTAAAGGAAAGAGCGGACAGGAGAAAGGAAAATCCAAGACGTTCGCAGCCACCGCAGAAAAGACGGAGGAGCAGCCCGCCATCCAGCAGACTGCACCATCCATAGAGCCTACCTATGCCGGTTGGACAGACCAAGATTGGGATCAATCATGGACATGGAATGAACAAGGCTGGTACTCATCTCATGAGACATCCAGCACAGGACAAGCGTCAATGGCATTCCATGATGCATATGAGCATCCTGGGAAAAAGGCCATCCACGAGAAGCTGATCCAATCAGATACCGTTTCAGAACACAATCTGTCCGTAACAACAAATCACAGCCTTCTGGCAACAAAGCTGATGGCGCCTGTCATGAACCCTCAGCACAACCCGACCTATGCGATTCTGGACAATGGATGTACCAGATCTATGGGCAGCTGGCATGCAATCCAGCGTTTTACCCAGGCCATCGAACCAATGAAGGACATCATCTCCTATGAGTACATCCCGGCCGAGACCAAGTTCGCTTTTGCAAACGGAGAGACCGCCAGGGTAAATTGGACCCTGCATCTTCGATATCACACAACTCCTCCGTGCAGTACCAACATCGACATCCTTGAACAAGATGCGGAACCTCTACATGACCATCGAGCACACACCTCAATGTGACAAGATCACATGCAAGGCCTTTGGCATGAACCGTCAAGCAGTTCCAGTATCCGGTACAGGACATGCACTCGTCGATCTCGCTGGCAAGTTTCCCTCCGGGGATCTCACCAAGAGCGAAACTGTTTGTGCAGCAAAATCATCCGAGACAAAGGAGGACCTAGCAACTCCTAAGATCATTGGGTCTCAAAAGCAGGACCATTGGATCCTTGACAAGAAGAACAAGCAGCTCATCCGTGTGCGCATCACGCCCCGAAAGGCGCTGTTCGCACCAAATGGAGCCAAGGAATGTCCAATCAATCCTGATCACATTAGCCGGAACGTACCACGGAAATCATTGATGCATCCGCAGGTGGAGATCCAGACATTTTGGAAGACAATTGGAGACTTACATCCCAGGCAAATAAACCAATGATTAACCTGTGGATAGGTAAGACCATTTTCACCTTCTCGGACAATTCGCTTAAGGACGAAGAAGCAGGTTCAGGATCGGCAGCAGACAGGATCATCGACAAGAGGGGCCGGTCGACTATTGAGCCAGATCCTTTCGCACCATCCTCAGAAGAACCGACATCGCTTCCGCTTGCCCTAGGCAGAATCCACAAGCGATTGTCAAATCCCGAAGAGTTGAAGAAACTCCACCTGCAGCATCATCACATGACAACAGATCAATTTCGATTCAGAACCCGAGCACTTCATTTGCCGAAATCGAAATTCGATCTATTTGACAAGATTTCAAGTGAGTGTGAAGTTTGCCAAGTGGCAAAACATGCACCATCACGAAGCAAGACAAGCGGACTTCGAGCGGACACCTTTGGCGACATGACATTCATTGATCACTGTCAAGTTCCTCTTGGAACAGGAGAACACATCATTGTTTTTGTCATCCTGGGTGGAGCAACAACATTGCTCACTGCAGAGGCAGTGACAACTACGCAAGAAGTCGAGAACATCACTGTCCTCAGGAACTATTTTGACCAGTACCACTTGCAGCCCAAATCAGTTGTCGCAGATCAAGCCTTCATGACAGATACATGGGAACATTTCTATCAGTCCCTTGACATCACACCGATATCCTTGGGACCGAATACACCATGGCCAAATCGAGCTGAAGCAGCAGTTCGACTCCTGAAGGCACAACTCAAGATCATGCTAAGTTCCATCAAAGCAGGTGCTGCACCTGCAACACTGAAGAAAGTGACATACAGGCAGCTAGTGAAGGCCGCTGCAACTGTCAGGAATCAGACCGTCACCTACGGGGGAGTAACACCATTGGAGCTCGCATTCGGAAGACGACCAGCAGATCTCATCCAACTCGATGTCGCAACACCAACTCAGTTGACGATTGACAGGAATGAAGAAGAGATGACAGCCATCCAGATCAAGCAGCTGTCAAAGCAAGCTTTCCAAGAAGCACGTCAATCCGAGGACATCCGACGAGACCTTGCTCAACATCTCCGAATGAGTTCAAAGGCTCTTCAGGTGAAGGACAAGGTATTCTACTGGCAGGAACACAAGATTCGTTCCGATGGAAGCAAGGGAGGAATATGGGTCATTTCCATTGAAGGAGCGATGGTAGGACTTGATCTTGGGGCTCGACTCATCAAGGTTAACATGACGAAGCTCAGGAAGGATGAGACCATCCCTCCGCGAAAACCCGGAACTGACTTTCTGTTACCTGAAGAGCGAGAATCCTTGCAGAAGGAGCAACCAGGCTCCTCTGTAGATACCAAGAAAAAGGACCAGCTCCTAAGCCAAGATCCTCAGTGCCATTACGTATCGCGGGAAAAACAACTCCAAAACCTGCAGTACCTCATCCA